TTTTCAACTTGTTTTGCTCTTAAGACTGAAGTAGGAATATAGTCACTGAGTTGGTGTTAACGCAGTAGCTTGGTGATCTCATAGCTAGAATAAGTTGTTTTCTGTCTTCAACTGTGCAAGCTACTGGGTGTCAAGATTCCCATGTGGTCTAGTGGTTAGGATTCCTGGCTTTCACCCAGGCGGCCCGGGTTCGATTCTCGGCATGGGAACATTTTTGTTTTCATTTTATTATATGTATATTTTAGTAGGTAATGCTTTCCTTCAAAAAATATAGCAGGGCCTTAATAGTACTCTGCATCGTGTGTTTCTTAACAAACATTAGAGCCTTCAAGCTACTTGAGGTGGACCTAATGGTTAGTTACTTCGATTAATAACGTAGTTCAATTGAACTGCTCCAAAAATTAAGTGAAACTCCATTCAACCAGGTGTTGTTTTTATCACAAGAAAACAAAAACAAGATTATATTATACCTACTGTGAATACTCAATTTTATATCCAAACGGCGTTCTTTAGAATTACTTGATGTGTTTATGCTGATCATTTGCAGCCAAATATCTTAAACACACTAAAGGTACTCTAACGAAACAGCGAGGAGTGTGTGCTGTTTAAAAACAGACATTTTTTCCTTACGTCTAAAGGGCTACGAGTGTAATTAAAATCAGAAGAAGAAGCATCGAGTAAGTTTTGCTTTCAGAAGAATTAGATGGGAATACAAACAATGAATGGAGAAAGCCAACACAATAAGCGAATAAAATGAATTAAAAACACGACAAATTGTATTGCTTGTAGAGACACGTGTAGTTGGCTCATGTTTTTCCGATTTGTATAAATGAGAAATGTCAGAACGACGGGAGAACATGTGAGCGCGCTGGCCGTGATCGTATAGTGGTTAGTACTTCGCGTTGTGGCCGCGACAACCCAGGTTCGAATCCTCGTCACGGCATAATGGTTGCTGTGCGTCTCGCACTGCCAAGCTCGCATACTTTTTTGTGCCCAGAGATTTTAAAATACTATTTGAAATCAAATTTCATTATGAAATCGATCAAATTATCACCCATATGAAATTTTAAGGTGTCGGTAGGCATGCAATTCTTTCAAAACAAACGAAAGCTTTCCTATCACTCAGAATATAATTGTATTGTAAAACCCAAGTAGCCTACCAAATAATGTACTAAATAGAACTCCCCGAGCATTGCGGTGGAAACTGTTTATATTGTAAACCACTTATGAAGATAGTTCAATCCGTCGTAATTCTCTTTAACGAACGTCGGGTGTTTTTATCTTCTTTCTTTTACTTTAAACGGTATCTTTTTGTTTGTCCGTAATACTGGGACTTAATTAATCGTTTAAAATCATTTTTCAACTTGTTTTGCTCTTAAGACTGAAGTAGGAATATAGTCACTGAGTTGGTGTTAACGCAGTAGCTTGGTGATCTCATAGCTAGAATAAGTTGTTTTCTGTCTTCAACTGTGCAAGCTACTGGGTGTCAAGATTCCCATGTGGTCTAGTGGCTAGGATTCCTGGCTTTCACCCAGGCGGCCCGGGTTCGATTCCCGGCATGGGAACATTTTTGTTTTCATTTTATTATATGTATATTTTAGTAGGTAATGCTTTCCTTCAAAAAATATAGCAGGGCCTTAATAGTACTCTGCATCGTGTGTTTCTTAACAAACATTAGAGCCTTCAAGCTACTTGAGGTGGACCTAACGGTTAGTTACTTCGATTAATAACGTAGTTCAATTGAACTGCTCCAAAAATTAAGTGAAACTCCATTCAACCAGGTGTTGTTTTTATCACAAGAAAACAAAAACAAGATTATATTATACCTACTGTGAATACTCAATTTTATATTCAAACGGCGTTCTTTAGAATTACTTGATGTGTTTATGCTGATCATTTGCAGCCAAATATCTTAAACACACTAAAGGTACTCTAACGAAACAGCGAGGAGTGTGTGCTGTTTAAAAACAGACTTTTTTTCCTTACGTCTAAAGGGCTACGAATGTAATTGAAATCAGAAGAAGAAGCATCGAGTAAGTTTTGCTTTCAGAAGAATTAGATGGGAATACAAACAATGAATGGAGAAAGCCAACACAATAAGCGAATAAAATGAATTAAAAACACTACAAATTGTATTGCTTGTAGAGACACGCGTAGTTGGCTCATGTTTTTCCGATTTGTATAAATTAGAAATGTCAGAACGGCGGGAGAACATGTGAGCGCGCTGGCCGTGATCGTATAGTGGTTAGTACTTCGCGTTGTGGCCGCGACAACCCAGGTTCGAATCCTGGTCACGGCATAATGGTTGCTGTGCGTCTCGCACTGCCAAGCTCACATACTTTTTTGTGCCCAGAGATTTTAAAATACTATTTGAAATCAAATTTCATTATGAAATCGATCAAATTATCACCCATATGAAATTTTAAGGTGTCGGTAGGCATGCAATTCTTTCAAAACAAACGAAAGCTTTCCTATCACTCAGAATATAATTGTATTGTAAAACTCAAGTAGCCTACCAAATAATGTACTAAATAGAACTCCCCGTGCATTGCGGTGGAAACTGTTTATATTGTAAACCACTTATGAAGATAGTTCAAGCCGTCGTAATTCTCTTTAACGAACTTCGGGTTTTTTATCTTCTTTTTTACTTTAAACGGTATCTTTTTGTTTGTCCGTAATATTGGGACTTAATTAATCGTTTAAAATCATTTTTCAACTTGTTTTGCTCTTAAGACTGAAGTAGGAATATAGTCACTGAGTTGGTGTTAACGCAGTAGCTTGGTGATCTCATAGCTAGAATAAGTTGTTTTCTGTCTTCAACTGTGCAAGCTACTGGGTGTCAAGATTCCCATGTGGTCTAGTGGTTCGGACTCTGGCTTTCTCCTGTTTTTTTTTTTTTGCTACTGCGACAAATGAAAGAAAAATGATGATAGATTTGTGTCCCATCTTATGCTTTGAAAGCCGTCATAGTCTGCACCATCGGAGAACAACAGAAACAACAAGGAAATAAATACAGAAATGTATAAAAATAGGCCTAAGAAATAAGTCTAGAAGATGGCAGAGTTGCATAATAGAGAATAAATTAACCGGGGGTGATCTCCCCTAAACTTTCTCGAATATTCTTATATAGAACTACGAGGGATGGCAACTCAGGACATAGACAATATTTGTAATCCATTTTTAATTACTTTTAATTAACTTTTTATAATAGAATGGAATCTAGTAAAAAAAAAATTGCACGCCAAGTGAACGCCTAATAAAATGTGCATAATAGTGCGCAATATTATGAGTACTTTATAAATTTACATTCGTTTTTTGAGAAATCGGAAATAGCGTAAATTACTACTTTCGGTCAACGAAAATTACTCAAAATGTGACAGAAGCTAGAGAATTATATATTTTACTTTGTGAAATTTCATTTATCTATCTGAAATAGTACTCAAATTATAGGCTTTTTAAAAATTCAAAGTAAGAAAAAACCCACTTCCGGTTATCGGAAATCGCTCAAAAGTTGATCAGGATCTATGATTTTGATAAAATATATATGAAATTTCATCAACCTAGCTGTAACGGTTCTCAATTTATCGTGTTTACACACAGGCAGACACACAGACAGACACACAGACAAACGGACAAGATTGCAAAATTATGTTTTTCCGTATCAGTGAGGTGTAAAACGTCGAGATTTGTAAAAATCTCGATTTTTTTTGCACGATTACAATACTTTCTCTATACTACATAGATCTATATACGAGAAAGTAAAAACCGGCCAGATGTGGGGACAAATAATAATTATGTAGTTCATGCAACGATTATGGTCACATTCCCACAGATCATGCTAACTGGCACAGGCTTTTCTCCTACCTATTTCATGGCACACACTCAAAACACGAAAATCAACCCTTGTTCCTGTAATTTCTATAATTTTATTGGTTCATAAGAGCCTCGCCTCCAGTTTCAGACATCGCCATGTTGTTCGCGCGCTATCCCCTTTCCGCTTCCTTTCCTTCGCGCTTGTGCACACCCACACCATCTATATATATAATTCTCTTCTGGGAACCGTTAGAAAACAAGCTGCAAGCGCCTTCTTGCAGTCCCCTCTCTTTCTCTCTATCACTATCACTACCACCCCCACCCCACCCCCACATTGTCTGGTGAGCGGTGTTCACTCTAAATCTTTACAAAGCTAAATATTTACAAATCGTAGAGCCGTAGAGCCGGGTTTCTATTAGGGGCAGATAATTTAGTTCGATTTTAAACTTACGGGAGGTAACTAAGAAATAACTAAGAGGAGGCTGCTTTCACGGGGGGGGGGGGGGATGGTGTAGGGTCTGGGTTAGGGGAAAGGGGGGGGGGGTTAGTGTTTTAAAGCAAATATTTTTAGTGGCAGCATTGGTACTGTCGAATTCACAAATTATGAATTACTGAAAAGTAGAAAATAAAACAACTAAATAGCGGCGTATGATACGCAGCGGGTCGGCTCGTATTTTATATTTTATCTCGCCTTTTTAATACACACACTCGCAACATACATTCATATACATTTAACTGTTATACTAACAATAGAGACAGACAAGTTTGTGCTTTTCGTACGTGTCTGCCCATCCCATTGTCGGCCGTTTGTCCATATCTGCTTTTGCTCTTGTCGGCATCCTTACCCATGTCAGCTTTTTGCTACATGTTATAGTGGTTATTAGATAGCTTCTACAGATGCCTTATGTTCATGAAGGAACGAAAAAGAATAATAATGATGATGATTATGACGACGATGTAGATGATGACCGTCGCAAGCCCATCCATGAACTTGCCAAAATCAACATTTTATTTTTATTAATAATAGAAAAATATATTTCACCTGAAAAAAAATATCTTCCGAAATTGACGCTGTGGTGTGATTCTTTCGAATTGTATTACTGTGGTTATTGTATGTTTTAGGGAAATTAAAATCATTTTGTTATTGAATAGCACCATTTGGCGCAGCATAATTAGTGCGCAAACCAGGAAACGAACAAGGCAAATAAAAATGTCAACATACGAACCTCTCCGCCTGGTTTCATACTTTAAAACATTGAAGTAACATTTTAGTAAGGAGATATTTCTCTGTTGTTGTTCTTAAATGAAGCAGCAACAATTACATTGGATTTGACTTAACTGGATTCAGATTTTATAACCATAGAAGTTTAGGTAAAGACGTTAAGTAGTTTATTTAACTTCCATGATAGTTTATATCATATGTATTATAATAAGTCTAGATCTAATTTTCTCAAATACTCAAAATGTCGAATAGAAATAATGACTTTAAGGTAAATTCAATTGCCTGATAATTACAAAATGGACATGTGCGTATGCTGTGATGAACGGTTCATGGTTGTCGAGTGAACATTAAGTGTTCACTTAAAAAGCTGACAATATTAGCTTTACTTACTCAACATGGGTATTCTCATTGATCATCTAATTCTCACACAATACACTAACGAGGGCATTCAATTAATTCATCAACGAGAACTTTCTAATTAGTCAGCTAAAAAAGGCACGGAGTGAATTAGAGTTCACTTGTTTCTATGACCTCGGCATATGAATGGATAGTGTGGTCATAACTATGCCCAGCCGGCTTTAATTTCCTAACTTGTGTTAGGTACCTATCAGTGCTGGGTGGACTTTAAGACTTGTTACAGAGTTGAGCCCGGATAGTAGCATAGCACTCCACTGCTAGGCAACGCCGTCCCAGTTCAGTACATAGCCCAGACTAAATTATCTGTTTGTACTATGAAACTTATAATTCGATTTTTAAATCGCTGGAAATAGAGGCCAATTAATACCTATTTTATTTATACCAGTTATTTATTTTCATCAAATAAAATTATAAAAACGATCTATTTCATTTCCTGAAGCCTAAGTCGAGAAAGCAGCCATGTCGAACACGAAATTTAACAGAGAAGCAGAAGTATACACGAAAAAGATAGACTCCCAAAATGATGATGAGATGAAGGCCTTAAAAAAAGAATTAGATGAGGTTTGTTGTGTTTTTTTAAGCCCCACTACATTTTTGCTAGGAAATGGTTTGACATCTGACGCAAACGTAAGCGATTTTTTTTCTAGCACATATTAAGTGAAGCTGGACAAAAAAAAATAACTTTTCATTGTCGTAAAATTATACTTTTCATTCAAGTTTTTAATAACAGACTCCTGATTTATTTTGGAGCTTTTCAAATTTTGTTTTTTGTTTGCGATATATATATATATATATATATATATATATATATATATATATATATATATATATATATATATATATATATATATATAGTTATAGTTATGGTTATATGGATTTCGATCATTTAGGAGTTTTAATTTATAAAATATTTATTTATTTCCGAAGCAATACGAAAAATTACATAGAAAAACGTTTTAGAATTAAATACTCCTACATTTTTTTTCCGGGGGAGACAGCAAGTTATATTGTATTTTTTTATATGTTTGATTTTTTAAAAAAGATATATTTCCCTAGAAAACGATCTTTGAATTGTTGCGTTATTTGTGTCTTTATTGAGCGAATCATTAAAAATTATAGGCTTTCGTCAATAACTGAAATTCCTCTGTGTTTTGCATAAAGCGCCTTATTAAATGTATTAGTGTTTCCCATTTTTTAAATAGCCATATTTTGTTATCAGTTCAAATTTATTTCTGACAGGTATTCAAGCCACTCTTTATCAAAGTAAGTGTTTGGTTTTTAACTTATTTTTTTACCACCATCTCAAATGTGAGGTTGTTTTGTTTAAGTAAGTGCAACATTATTACTTCTCGCGAACAGTATCTCCAACATAAGATTATTTTTAAGTAAGCGCTACATTATTAATTCATTTAACCACCATCTTCAATGTAAATTTGTTTTATTTAAGAAAGTGCAAAGTTTTTAACTATCTCTACCACCATCTCTAATGTAAGTTTGTTTTGTTACGCACATTATTCTTCGTAGAACGACAACAACCTGTCTCTAGTGAAGCTCAAGGAAGAACTCAAGGAGAGCGGGCTGCTAGCGAACATCCGAGAAGAACGAATTGATAAGCTGTTAAATGATGCGGACAGGAACAAGGATCAGAAGTTGAGCTATTTCGAATTTAGTAAGATGGTGAGTAAAACAGTGGCAGTGTTGGGTAGGAGGACGCTGATTGGGTTCACGATGATTAGGATTAACGCTGATTAGGATTAACGCTGATAGGATTAACGCTGATTAGGATTAACGCTGATTAGGATTAACGCTGATTAGGATTAACGCTGATTAGGATTAACGCTGATTAGGATTAACTTTAATGGAGCTACACACACACGCCATCCATACTGACGCTTATGCACATGCACGTGCACATGTACACATACACATACCCATACACATACCCATTTTTACATTTTGGGTCAACAATAAATGACGTCACGCTTTTTTTAACGATTTTTACCTTCACCCCTCTTCCGTCACCCATCGTCACAAAAACCAGACCCAAA